TGGAATTTCGACTCCTGGAATCAAATTGAGATGACTCTCATTTTGCGGTTTGATATGTTGAGTCGGGAGCTAAACCAAATAACATCAATGATGTTGACCCTGCGTAAGTATTGAGAAAACAGGATCCGTTATCATTGCGCCAGTGTTGCCGGGTGAAAACTGGGCAACAGTCTGCTTGTGTCTATATGCAGAAGAAAATATCTTGGTTCTTGCTGAAGAGATTCAAAATGATTGTACTGAAGGTCATCGGTGAGTAGACGGGAACCCCTCCTTCTGTCTTCATGGTGGTGTTCATGTACAGCTAGCTCACCGGTCGTGTGTCTACGCTCTGCAGAATATATGAGCTGTCAAGCATGCGGGTTCTTGAACTCGCACGTATGCTTGCATAGGTAGTCTACACAGCCTGCATATACATGCATGGCCAGCATCTCATGAAATGGAGAAGAAGAAGAAATGACGACTTGCATGCCTTACGGACGCAACGTTGGTCCCCTGTTCTCGCACGTTTCCTCAAACTTCGAATTTCTGCCCGTCTTCAAACGCTATTCTCTCTCATGGGCCATCAAACCGGACTGTCTATCCGGCTGTCAGTAGTGACATTCTGCAGAACATGCTTTGATGGCGTACGATGCAGTCTGCATACATTGCGTGACTGGCAAGGGAGACGATTGACATGGGTATTGGACATGTTGCTGCGGGACGTCCCAGCCCAGGCGCACTAGTCTAAACTGAGGAAGACGATGAAAAAGGGGGACACCTGGAGCCAAGATCTGCGTGACACTTGTTCGCACCATACTCGCAGGAACGGCTGGTCTTCTCGACCTGGTAAGAGATGGCCTGCCCAGAAAGAAACCTCCGCCGCATGGGTTTTGAGACCTGTCATAAGTCGGGGCCCGTTGGGGCGACGTCGTACTCACGGGTCGACGCAGAAAATCCCTGGGACCATGTCTCAAAATTTCAATGACCCAGGGGACGTCTATAGATATGCCTATAGGAAAGATTAGACACTGATGGTTGGCGGGAAGCTGCTGTTCCAGTGAGCTGGGCGAGAGACGCAATCCTCCTATAGTAGAATTTACTAATTAATGTGCAGAAGATTTCGTCAACTCAGATGGTCCCGATCCAAATCGAGATTAGATCATTTCCGTCTCCAACGCAGATGAGGGAAACCGACTGGAATTGTGGACTCTTCGGGATCATGCAGAGGGGGGGAAGGGCCGCGTCTGCCGGTGTCGGATGACTTGAGCCTGTCTCCCCTAGCGAGATGCGCCTACCGAGCTGGAACAACTCCTACGGCAAGGGAAACCAAACAGGATGTTGTCAAATAGGTATTGGTTGAAGTTGATAAAAAAGCAAAACTTCGAATCAGTAGCTGTGGATCATCGTTCAACGTCGAACGCCCAACGCCGCAAACGTCTGGGCGGAGCCGCTTCCTGTTTTCCCACGCTTTTTTCTTCTAGCAATCTTCGGATCGATCCGAAAGAAAGAGTATATGGTGTGTTTTTGATCGACTGATGGCGTTGCATCACTGGTTTGAAATTTCCACGCTTCGCGTTGCTAATCTAAATTTGGTGTTCATGGAAAGATCTAGGTTCCGTGATGTCTACTTTTGTGACTGGCTCTCTTTAGAGAGTATTGCTCCTCGAAACGACTCAGTCCAAGAACAAACTTGCAGAATACTTGGATCCGGTGGCAATTGAGCTTTCCACTGTTGCCGGTGGTGACAGATACCCCTATTCAGCCCGGTCGAGGCCCGTTTGGTAGGTATGCAATGGAGGCTACAAACACCACCCTGACGAGCCGGCGAACACAGCTTTCACAGTGGAAATATTTCTGTCACAAAGCAGGTGACAGACTTCTGGACGCTTTGAGACTTTTCATCTCCTTTTCTTCAATTTTTCTCGCATACAAGGAAACTCACTCGAAGAAAAGTTGAGGCTGTTTGTGAAATCGCCGTGTGTCTTGTTGTGTGGACTGAACATTCAAAGTTGCTATTCACACCGCAATTCCAAGTCATAATTATCTACAATGGACAAAGGTTATTAAAACCTTCCAAATCTCTTCACTGTACATGTACAGCTTGGTTTTCTCAAACCATCGCAGGGACATTGATCTCCTTGATAGTCCAAACCTTTCCATTCTGGCTGCTCGAGAGACCAGAATATGTGGCCTTCTGAGCGGTGGCAACTGTCTTCCCAAAACCATTATCGGGGGATGCAAGAGTGATGACGGTATCTATATACTTTTGTGATGCAATAGTAGGACTGCAGTTGGCGTTGCACTCGGTTCCAGTCCCGTAGCCTCTCATAAACGGGCCAGACTTGTGCTCAAACGAGCTGAGCTTTGCACCGGTGTCGGCATCGGTGACGGTCTGGCGCCAGGTATCGTTATCCGAGAGGAGTTCATATTCGATCTTGACTTTCTGGGTGCCCGATACGGCAGAAGCGTCGCCGCTGAGTTGCCCAAAGGATCCGAAAAGTGAGGCCCGGACGCACCACTGTCCCTTCTTGGCGCCACACCAAGAGTTGTCCGGCCAAGATTCTAGGGTCGTTTGAACGAGATCACCGGTGCCATTCGACATACCTGGCCATAGAGCCAGCACTCCGTTTTGTGTGGGAGGTGCGGTGCCAGGGATAATTGTTGTCGCGGCCTTGATGATGGTTGAAGTTGTTGGGCCAAGGGATACGGAGCCGCCCCAAGTATCGACTGCGGCCGAAGTGCCAATGATTGCCGCGATTATCGCTGCCTTGAAAGTTCCAGAGACCATCATGGGTATCTTGGGTTTGAGCTTCGATGACAACTGAGATGATAGGCTTGATCGATCGAGGTGTCACTTTGACCATGTCTCAGAAAATATTGCAGGTATTTATGTCTTTTGCAAACTGGAGCGAATGAGCGAGATGACATCCTCGCACTTGATTATATTCCAGTTAATCAACTCCATCGTGAATGCGGTAGTGTTCGCCTGCCCCGTGAAGTGCTCTGTATCGTGGATTCATGTAGGAGATAATTCTCCACGACGGAGATATTTGCTCGATGCAGTTCGAGATTGGATTCGACTTGCTCAACCTTTTCGTGTCCACCAATGAGAATAGTCCAATTATCCAGGTTAACCCTACCAAAGGTCCTTTCTAGTGTCATAGCTGGCTGCATTTCTACCAAAGCTTGCCGACTTGATCTTAGTGTCATCTGAAGTTCATTAAGCCAGATCCCTTTTGGGGAAGCCCCTGCCTTTTGGGACTAAAGACCAGTCGCCCCAGTATGAGCGGAACCAATCGTCCATACCCAACTCAGTGCATGGGTATATCGCCCTTGGGATCACGAGGCTTCTACTCGGGGAAAGACTAAACAAGCAACTCAAGTGCCGGCTTAGCCGCCTCTTCACCCGCACGAAGAATCGCAGTAACACTAGCCCATGAAAAGTTGGGTGAAACGACAAAACATGGCGGGGGACCTGATGGCCATTGCATCTTTTCACTTGAGTCAAGCCTCGGAAAATGTAAATGAGGTGATCCTAGTCGCGAAAGACGACGCCTCGGTTTCAAGTTCGGCTATTTCGGTCTCGTTCTCCGTGGGAGCTTCTTGAATCCTGCTTGGTCTCGATGCGACCTAATGCATGCCTGACTGTCGGCGGACCGTGGAATACAGCGGCACTTGCATGTCTCAGCAATTTGAGAAGATCGTGAGCTAAACGAACCCTATCCGAGTCTGATGCGAGGAACCATTAGTTTTGCTGTGAAATAAGTGTAACTGTAAGTACTTACCCAGTGAAAGAACTGGATAATACATGCGCATGCGCCGTCTGGGCCGCCATCTTTCTTGATCACTTTAGAAGCTGTCGCAGAGACAGGCGCAAATATGTTTGAAGTCCATTTGTCAAATTACTACGGTAGTTCAGGCTTCTTAGAAGCGAGAATAGTACCAGATTCAAATTTCACGTAAGATCAAGGTCGCGGATCACAAAGCACCTTACCAGAAGGCTCTTTGCTACGTACCTTGCCAAACCCCACGAGTCTCGGCACGGCTGTCAGTGAATATCTGTAATCATCGCGGATGAGTGTTAGGAGTAGCTGCGAAAAGCCCGCGATTACCAATATCTCTCCCTTGAGGTTTCTGCAACTACCGAGTCGCTCGTGATGACACTTATGAAGTCAATTAGTCGACAAAAATCAGGACAAAGTCTCGTCTGAATGGAAGATTTTGAGACACGTCTGAATCAATGCCGCTCATGTTGCCGTACAACCCCTCAATTTTGAAGCGCGACTTCGCATTTCTGTCTGTAGCATGTTCCATGACACACGGCAGATGGAGCAGCTCTCATGAGGCCGATGCAACTTTTAGTCAGGATAGGCTGACCAAAGTATCGGCAATATTCCTGGACGATCTCACTTGAAGAGTCGTGCAATCAAATATCACGTTGTTTCCAAATCCCTGTGTCGTGGTCCATCCCACGATCGACCAAGGCATCAATCACATTAGAGTGGATGCATCTACTCATGTCTGCGCTTGCAATGAAGCTTACTTGCACGTGAGCGATAGTACACAGAAACTAGGCACCGTTACTAATACCATGCTGATTGTCTTGGTGCCGAACGATCATTATTGCCGGAAAGTACTCCGTAAAACCTCAAGCGCCAACGCGTGGGGCCCCAGAATAATGCGACCCAACCAAAAGTTTGGAACGGTCCGTCATGATTATCAATCTGGGGTCGTAAGGCTGTCCTTGTTGCCTATTGCTAAATCTTTTTGGTCACCATACTCTAGACTGCCCCCGTTCTCTGTCCGATTACTGCGGAAGGGGGAGCAGAGTTTCTAACTGGCTGTTCGTACAATGTGGTGTGACGATGCCAAAACGCTATGTTTCTAGAGTTCAGAAGAAGGTTTAGATTTGTTTAGTGAAACAAAAACGTTAAAAAAAGGCCCGCGGCGCGGACTGGCCAGCGGAACTCCAGCAAGCGGGCATCGAAACGCTCCTTAAAGTGTAAATCTTGTTGAAAGTCCTAAAGGTCTTGTTCCTCTTGTTCCTGTTGGCTGCAACCTCCACAAATTGCATCGAACGAGCGACAGGGTTCCAACCAACTTGGTTCCCGCAACCCGGGAATGGAGCTGTCTTGCCCCGAAGGATCAGCCCCAGCATTGCACAGAGCGTATGGATGGTGCAGCTCTTTCAACTTATGTGCCGCACTCCCACGACTCTTCCGATTATGGTGCCGAAGTCCCGACTTGCGAGCACCGATAGCAAAGAAATCCTGAGATAAGCTACCGTCGCAAAAGCATAAGCGGCATAGTTCAGACATTGGTGACGACTTAATGGGAAACGGTGATCTTGGCATTCTGTCAACGGTACACCCGATCGAAGCCACGCCCACCTGCTGGTCCTGGTTCGTCGCATCACGATGATTCTACATGGTCCTAGTGGGCGTTTAGATAAGATGGCGGTGGAACCTCTGCTTGTTTGACGTTCCATTGCATCTCCAAAGTCCCAAAACCCCTGGAGTCCATGATAAAAATGTTCAGCTAGACATCCACTCTCGCCAACCAATATCGGCCATCACCAATTCTCGTCAATCGGCCCCCATCTCAGTCGTCAGCAAATTCGATAGTACAGCTCCTTGCTGACATACTCCACACGTCAATTCCGCAATGCACAGGGTACGATGACCCTTGTGAGCCACTCCCAGCAGCAGCAATTGCCACTATCCGAACTGCTTTCTCCATACTCCTACCCACAGGCTGAACCGACATCCAGGCATGTGGTTCATAGGGGATGTGATCCAGGTCTGCAGCCGTTTGACGTTTACCTGCATCAATCGAGCTGTTCTGTGAGTGCGGAGCTGCCGCCGTACCCTGTTGCCGTGGTAGGATCCCTCGATCCATGTACTTCGCAGGGACTGATCCGTTCCAGCCAATACCGCACGAAATTTCAACAACATTGCTTACAGTTGTACCGTCGACAATCGATGGTACAACTTCTTCCTGGGGCTCTGTTCCTACTCATGACGAACTGGCTCAAGGTGATTGGTCTTTTCTGCTCCAATACCCACACAGAGACCGATCAGGACCTTTTTCCGTGATGGCGCATAGTTCTCGGTGCAGCCAACAGAGGTTGGGCAGAACCCAGCTTTGCCTATTTAGCCCGACGAAATCAAATCGGGAAATGCCTCATACTATACCTTGCTGTCTGCAGAGTGTACACAAGAGTGGAAACGGTAATGCCGTGCCCCCATTCTGGAGAAGAGATACGACGTTGTGACTGATACATAAACAGCTGTATTGCCGGTCGTTGGGAAGTTCGGTTTCAAGCGATCAAGCTCAAAGTCAGAATCAACTCCAGAGACTGTCTTCATCATGACGTGGTTCGCTGCACTCTCGGTGTCCGGCGCCCTAGACGATCTTGTCGTCAAGGCGGTTTATCTAGGGCTCTTCTACCTTATCGTCAAGTACACATACCGGATGTTTTTGTCTCCTATCGCTAGTTTTCCCGGGCCGAGAATTGCTGGTATCACCAAACTTTACGAAGCTTATCATGTTCTGCTGAAGAACGACTGGCTGGAGAATCTTATCTCGCTCCACGAGAAATATGGTAATTTGTGCACCTGTTGCTCGCTTTGTGGACTTAACATTAACTCGAATTGTCATTACAGGACCGGTTGTTAGAATCGGGCCTAACGAGCTTCACTTTGTCGACAACAAGTTCAACCTCGACCACCACCGGCGGCCCGACCTCTTCAAGTGCAACAATTACTATGGTCTTCTCAACAAACTCCTTGGCGGATTGGCCAGCCCTACGAAGCATGCGCAGAGGGCAGCAGTCATGCGGCCAATATTCTCTGGCCAGACTTTGGCCGAATACTCCAAGACGTTGGATAAGCACATCGAGTCACTTCACTCCCGCCTTGCTGATGCTGCTTCGGATAAGGGAGTTATTAACTTGACGCATTACCTTTGGGCTTACACCAACGATGTCATGATCTCGTATCTCACCGAGGAAAACTATGGATTTCAGAAGGTCTACGATTTGCAAGCCACTCATGATGCGACACGAGCCTTCAGCGCCATTGACCTCGCCACCGTACTGAGGTGTATGCCACCGGTCAAGACTATGTTTGATTACGTTCCAGCTCTTCGATCATTTTCACCTTTGGGGTGGCTTGATAACGTAAGCTCATTGAATCGACTATCCCCGAATACTACATCAAATTCGCTGACCTCTTTGTGATTAGTTGATTAGTTCTCACGTCAGACCTATGGTTAAGTCTTGGGACGACGAGAATAGTCATCAAAGTGTGTTGGCTCGAATCTTCAACGAGATAGGGAACGAGACACAGACTGTGCACGAGTCATCACAAGCTATTTTTATTGGAAACGAGTCTCTTCTCAGCAACTTGACCTTTGTCCTTCATCATCTTATCCAAAACCCGGAATGCATCAAGAAAATTCGATCCGAACTGGATACTTTGGATATTGGCACATATGGGCACCGAATTTGGAGGGATCCAAAGACCGCTCAACTCAGGTATCTGGTAAGTGGCTTGTTGATGTTGACCTACACTAGATAGAACTTGTCGCTGACGCCCCCAGGATGCTGTATGCAGAGAGTCGTCCCGCTTGAGCTCACCCAGTTGGCATCGACAACCCCGACAGAGTGACACTCCGGTGGAATACCAAGGAGCCATAATACCCCCAATGGTAAGAGGGAGGATTTTAGTCACTTTCACTCTGACTGTATCTGACACGTTGTAGACGAGTATGAGTTTTACCTTACATTTGCTCGAGCGCGATGCCACCCTCTTCCCAGACCCGAATACTTTCAAGCCTGAAAGATGGCTCGGTTTCAACCAAGAGTCGAAGACAACCAAGGGACATTCAGTTTCATTTGGTACTGGTACGAGAACATGCTTAGGGCAACAGTAGGTTTAGTCCGACCGTCTCAAGAGTTTCCTCCTACTAACACACAAGCTTCACAAGTATTGCTCATAGAGTTCTACGCAAAACAGTCGCTTTTCTCATTTACAACTTCAACATTTCATTGTGGGACGAGAAGATGGATAGGGCAGATGGATTTCGGTATTTAAACACATACCCCAAGAAAGGTCACGAAGGCTACATGAAGGTCCAGATGACTCCGCGTTTTGGATCGATTGCATAGCGACTCAGCGACTGTTTTCTTCATTTGACAAATATTCCCCCCCGAGAATCCCAGATCATCAAATTTTACTTCACTGCTATGTCACTTCAACTGGGTTATTCACCTCAGAATGCTTTGAGAACGAGGTTGAGGTGCAGAGCAAGAGATAGTATTGAATGATACCCAACAATATCAAGAACTTCTTTATCCAACCTCGACATTACAAACATAAACAGAAAACCCATAAGCTACAAAGACCATAAGGACCCGAGATGCGTGAAAGGATCGAGCCTAGCCCGCGATTGTGTTCGGTGGTAGAGGCTGGTTCGCCGCCACGAAGGGCAGGGGCGGCCACTCGCCCGGGTCAAAGGTATCCTCAAACTTGTGGACGCCTGACTGTACCACAAGTCCATGACGTTGTTGGCATGTCTCCGCGGCAAAGGACCTTGGTAATCCTGAAGGTAGAAACACCACTGCGGAGCAGTTTGGCGGCACTTCTAGCCACATGTTGAATTTCGTGCCTTCCAGCACCCATTCGCAAACCACTTTTCCATAAGGACCGTCAAAAGTGACAGCAGCGTTCGTCAAGCTCCCACCTGGAACAGGTTCCACACGAATCACTCTCCAACCCGGCTCTTGGGGTGAGATGCCGCCGACAGATCCGTGAAGCCAGTCTGCTACTGCGCCAAGGGCGTAATGGTTGAAGCTGGTCATCTGTCCTGGGTTGATTCGCCCGTCTGGTAGCATGCTGTCCCATCGCTCCCATATCGTTGTTGCCCCCTTGGATACGACAGGGTACAGCCAGCTAGGACAAGTTTTCTCTAGAAGCATACGATATGCCAGTTGTGGGCGTCCGATCTTTGTGAGCGCATGCGATATCACTGGCGTACCCGCAAAGCCCGTACTGATGTGGAAGCGCGCAGTCCGTACCAGCTTCTCAAGAGCCTTTGCCGCAGTCTGGCGTTGTAATGTGTCGTTGGGATACAGGCCAAACTGAAATGCAAGGGACAGCCCAGTCTGAGAACTCGACATCAGGTTACCTTCGGGCGTAATGTAACGCCTCTGGAATAGTTGTTTCAGCTTCTCGCCATCACTAGCATACTTGGCAGCCAAATCAAGCTTTCCGATCGCCGCACAGAGGCGCGAGAAGACCACGGTCGTGTGTACCAGGTAAGCATTCGCGACAAGGATACTGTCAGTACGACCGTTTCCAGGATCATCGGGAGGTGCACTTGGATCAAGCCAGTCGGCGAGCTGCCACTTGTCCGGGTTCCAAAGACCGTCGCAAGCACGATCAACTCCTTCGTCAAGCCACGTTTGCATGCTGACAAACTGCTTCTCAAGCAGTCCCTTGTCAGAGCTGTATTGATATAACGCGTCTGGCGCGAGAACAGTCACGTCGTCCCATACAGCCTGAGCAATGTGTGGCCAGTTAGGAGAAATGGCCAGAGGAACAACCAAAGGAGGAATTCCTCCCTTGCCTTCTTCCAGTTGTTCAGCCGCCACATCCTCAAGCCAGTTGCCTAGGATCCCCAATGTATCGTATAGAAATGTTGCCGTAGGACAAAATACCTGCAAGTCTCCGGTCCATCCCAGTCTTTCGTCGCGTTGAGGGCAGTCCGTTGGAATCGACAGGAAGTTACCCCGCATAGACCAGACCACGTTCTTGTGAAGTTGGTTGACGTAGGGGTTCGAACATTCAAAGAAACCTCTGCGCCTCATATCCGTGTGCATCATGAGAGCTTGGATGTCGTCTTCGGATGGGCCACTGCCAGGCCAACCATCGACTTGGACATATCTGAAGCCGTGAAAGGTGAACTTGGGCGACCAGTTGAGAAGAGGCTCCCCTGATCCAATGATAGTATCGCAACACTTCGCATCTCTCAGAGGTCTGGTGCCTAGTTCGTCGTTTTCCATCACTTCGGCGTGGCGGAAAGTGATCTCTGCTCCCTCCTGGGGGCGGACTGACTTGACGAGGAGCTTACCGACAAGATTCTGGCCAAAGTCTAGAATTGTCTTTCCAGTCTTGCTCAGAAAGACCTTGACACAAGGCTTCGTCTCAATGACTCGTACTGGCGGCGCGTCTGGTGCTACCATTGTTGCTTGAGGCCATGGGAGAAGTCTTGTGGCCGATGTCGTCTGAGTCACTTCCGGGGACTTCCAATCCCCCTCCTCTTCCCGCATATCGTACACTTCTCCATCGTA